CCCAAAGCCCGGCAAAACCAGCAGCACCCCCAGCCGCCCACCCCCCGGGGCAGCGGCTCCGCCACCGGGACCAGCTCCTTCGGCACCATGTGCAGGCTGTTGAGCACGTCAAGGCAGCCATCACTTGACGCGTAGAGGCGGACCTGCAATGGCGCCAGGAGGCCTGGGGTGCCTTCCAGGCCTAGTGCGTCTGCATGGCAGATTCGATCACCACCCTCACCACCCACATAGCCCATGCCATCCATTATGGCATGGCCTTGCCCCATGCCCTGCCATCCCTCCCCCAGCAGTGCCCCTGTCCCCTCCTGCAATGGCCCCTCCTGCTCCTGCCGCTCCTGCTCCTCCTGCCCCTCCTGCCTACCTCCCTGTGCAGCCTGCCCCGATGCGGTCTGCCCCCCATGTGCAGGTCTGCCCCCTCAGGAGCGCTCGCAGGGCCACCCCTCCGAGGAGTAGCTCCTCCCCCTCCCAGTTCAATTTCTCCTCCGCCTCTCCCCCTTGTAAATAAAAACATACACGTTTTTTCTGTTCAAAACAAAACTTGTGTTTGGTGTTTATTGGGAGGTAAGGGGAGAGGAGGGGAAGGGGAGGGGATGGGAGGGAGTTGTCAAGGGAGACCGAGGCGACCCTACTATGGGGCCTGGGCGAACATGTCCATTAGGGCCTCCTGGATGCACCTGGTGCACCAGGCGGATGGCAGCTGTGTGGGCTGTTCATAGCCCTGGCCCTCGGCTGCCAACCATGCAGGGAGGAAGGCCTCCCCCCTCTGCTCCACAGTGTTGTGGAGCACGCAGCACGCGGCCAGTACCTCCGTTGCATTCCGCTCACCCATCTCAAGACGGGTGAGCAAACAACGGAAGCGGACTTTCAAGCGGCCGAAGGTGCACTCCACATGATTGCAGGCCCGGTTGAGGCGGTCGTTGAACCGGGCCCGGTTCTGGTCCGGCCGCCCCATGTAGGGCCACATTAGCCAGGGCAGTAGGGGGTAGGCCGTGTCCCCAATGATGCAGATGGCCATAGGGAGGGCCACATTAGCCAGGGCAGAAGGGAGTAGTCCGCGTCCCCGACGACACATATGGGCATAGGCACATCCCCGACAGTCAACTCCGTGGGGGGGAGGTGGGTGCCCGCCCCCCGCCTGCAAAACAGGACGGAGTTCCTGAGGATGCGGGAGTCGTGTGCCCTGCCCGACCAGCCCGCATAAACGTCTAAGAAGCGGCCACGGTGGTCCACGAGGGCCTGGAGGACAATCGAGCAGTACCCCTTCCGGTTCATGAAATGGGCTGCTCGATGCTCCGGGGCCCAGACAGGGATGTGGGTTGCATCCAGGGCTCCCCCGCAGTTGGGGAACCCGAGGGCAGCGAAGCCGGCCACGGTAGTGTCCACATCGCACAGGCGGATGACTCTTGGCAGTAGGACATCGTTGATGGCGTAGACGACCTGCAGGAGGGTGCAGAGAAACACAGGAGAACACATCACATAAGGCAGGGTGAGTGTGTGCTCCATTGCCCCCCCTCCCCCCCCGTGATGCATTCTGTGTTCTCACACACACACACACACACCAGGGCCCCCTCGCCCCACGGTCCCCCCTCCCTGCCCCCCTCAGCAGTCCTGTGCAAGGGAG